TTTCTGACTCTTTGGAGGTCGTCTGTGTGGGAGGTGTTTACCTCCAACTCTACGTCTCCCAAGCAGCAGGCCGCTGGATGCTACGTCAACCGGAGGCCTTTTTGGAGGCCCTAATGAACCGACTCCTGGAAACTTTTAACCAAAAGTCAACCGGAGCAGATCCAGGCCTGTTGCGATTGCTTAGTCGATCGGCGCTACAACTGTTTACAGATCGACCCGGACTACTGGACGGGTTGCCGAAGAAAGGCTTTGCTCACCGCATAATCGATCTGTGTCCTGCGGTGAAGGAACCGGAGGAGGCAAGGACGTGTGCCCTCCTGATGCATGCCATGTCATCAAGCAAGGTGAGGTACTTTGCAATGAAATGGACTTTCCAATTACTCCAACAAAATATAGCAAAACTTTGTTGATGGGTTCACTTTCCACTCTCGAGCTTTGTTGGCGCCATTGAGTCGTCTTCGTGGGCACCACTGGTAAATTCAAAGTTAGAAATTGAAGCACCGCGTATCTCAAGACCTTATGACCTCCGCTGCTGTCATTCATTGTGCCAAAGATTTATGGTTATGCTTTCTTTTAGTTTTCTTTTCAACTCTTGTCACGTGCTGAGTTAACAGTGCTTTTCTGAAGGAATTGTGTGCTGAAGTTGCCCAACTTTTACTGCCTCTTCTTTCCGTTGTTGGTCCCAGCTTTGTGTCGGTGCAATGGTGGAACGAGAGACGATTGCCGGTTACCGACATGTGATTGATTACTGTGTTGGCGAAGAGTTGGGCACAATTGGGGAGACATTTTTCAACATCTTCAACACCACCGGCTGTGATCCTCTCGTTGCTCAAGTGAGTCATCAACTTTTCTTTCCGCCATTTGTCGTGTGGACAGTGGTGAAGGGAAGAAATGCTCTCCTCTCCCCTCATCTTGGTCGTAATGCCTTTTTTGGTCCTCTTTGTAGGCGCTCAAATGCGATCTCATAGATTTTCTGCTGCAGACCCTCCAACGCGGCCTACCGGTTAGTGTTCGTGAGCCGGGCCAGTGTCGCGCCTACATTGTAAAGGCTCTAAAGGCAATGCAAAAGAATCCCCTCTACGGGGCACAGGTAAGTGTTGTGCAATTGTCTTTTTTTGGTATCCCGCCGAAGGAAATCTGTGTTAAATTGCCCAAATTCTCTAGGTGAGTGTGAAGCTGGACGCAGAAAGCGATAGGTGGTCGGAGTTTAGGGACCAAAGTCACGCCCTCTTTCTCACCAACGCTCCTCAGTCAGCCACTCTGGCTTCCGCCTATCTAACTGCTGGAGCAGGCGGATCCAGTATGCATGCTGGATTCATTACCAGTGGTGTTAGCTCTGGTGCTACAGGGACTGGTGCTGCTGGTGGTGCTGCCTCCGCGGTTGGTGCCGCTGGTGCAGTGGCCTCTGGCGCTACTGTCGCCGGTACAGCGCTGGGTCCCGGTGGGGTGCCCATAGCTCCACCGGAGCCACGACCTTGATTGAAGATATTTCTGATGTACTCTGTCTCCCTCTCCACCTATTCTATTAGTTGTCCACACATCTTTTTCAATTTTTTGAAACTCTGACTTTGTGTGTATGTGTATGTGTGAATGTACTTTTCGGTGATTTGTATACGCAATGGCAACTGGTCTTGTCTTTTTGATCGTTTTAACAAGAGGCGACTACCGAACGCGGACACTGACAACAGATGAGTCTGTGTATTGAAGGTTGAGTTGAAGGCTGCTAAGTTATCACACCCGAGGCAGTGGTGTCAGTCCGTTGCCATAGTTTGTGAGTCTCCACAAATCCAATTTAGCAGCAAAATGTAGGTGTCTCTTTTTGTCGTCTTCAGACCTTCCCTTTTCTTTCGACTACTCACGAGCAACGTCAAAATGGTAATTCTTTTGCCATGCACCATCTCATCAACACCTTCAAGGCATACGCAATCCACTCGCGTTTTATCTAAGTGTAGTAAACTGCAGGAGGTCAAAATTGTCCAACTAATGTCCGCGTTAGGCTTAATCTAAATACCCATTTAAAGTCTTAAGTCCACAACACCTGACTACGCATTTAGGAAATTCTTTAGAACCACTGTAGAAGATAGGAAATTCGATGTCCTCAACTGCTGCAATGAATGAACTTTTAGTGCAGTTTTCATTTTCATCTCCTCAAGATGCAAGAAGTGATGTGGAGGTAGTTTTTTGATTATGTGAAATTAGCGGAAGAATGTCAGCGTAGAGTAGGGGATCAAAATTTGGTTTGTCCAGTGAATTCTTCAGCCTTTGGTTGTCTCACTGCTTGTCTACAAGCGAATTGTGAGTAGCACAATCAAGAGGACGGCAGTCTGAAGTGGCAAAAAAGAGTGCTTGTCTTGGAGGGTGTACAGGTTTGCATGTGCCTTTTACTAAGGATTTTGTAACTCACTTGTAGCAGAATTGCAACAATGGAGATGTACAGTAAAAGTGTCAAACTGTTGAAGG